GGCCCGCGCGCGTACGAAAGTGCAATTTGGCTTCTTTTACCCCAACCCGAAAAATGAGGGGTGGGCAAAATATTTTCACGATACAGTCCCATAAAGGTTTTACGCTCAAACTCGATCAGCGCTGATTAGTTTTGGATTTTAACTCCAAATTAAGTTCGTGACTCGGTTATCAATATTTCTAACAGTTACAATGTCGATTTGGTGGATTTTCGGCGGAGTTATAGGCAAAAAACTGTCAAAATTTTGTACCCAATTTGAAAGTGCGCTCAAACGTTCTCGCAATGAAGGCAAACCCGCGAAATTAAACGTTGGCGTTCAACTTGTTATCTACAAATCCCTATATCCGTATTGTTAAAGTCACGATATCCGGGAGATTTGTGGTCACTGAGATTGACGTTTTCAGTCGATGTCTGCAGACAGCGAATTAATTCTGGGTTGTACAGCCATCTCTGACATTAAATCCAAATCTCTTCCTTAGTGAGAGGTCTAAGGATTCCAGGCTCCAGCTTCCCGGATTTTCAGACGATAAGCCATTGATATTTCTCAATTAAGTAGCGTTAATTATGACGAGTGGATAAGTTATATTTGTATTTTTCACACTGAATGTTCTGAGGTTTCCAATGCTCCTACCAAAGAGGATGATGAAGTGACGGTCAGCTCGAGCAATTTACCATTCCAGATGCCATCGCTCTCGTGTGGTTTCGTTCCTGAATTGTAGAGTGGTCACTGTCCAGCACGGATGCATTCTGGTTTTGTCGTGAAAAACGTGGAAATCAAACAAAACGAATGAAAATTGAATTCAGCGAAAGCCAATCGTGTAATTCTTGTGGAATATTTATTCATTTTAAGCAAACAAATAATTTTTCACAGTTATTTGTTTATCGAGAAAACGAAAAAAAAACCTTCGAATGAAATGGACGTAAAACAAAGTAAAACTTCATCTAAGCGAATTAATATCATCAAACTGATTTTGAACAAGATCAAGTAACCAGTAAACAAAACGACAACAAGAAAATGATCATCGAGAAATATTACCCCTGATAGTCACAAAAAATATTTTAAGACGAAAGCTCATGGATTGATTTCATTACCCTATTTGATGAATACAAAGCTTCAAGCAATTTTTGATCTTATTGGAAAACACCACGCAAGTAAAGTGAATGACAAGTTTCTACTGATCGAACGGACAGCTCTGGGAAGAAAATTTGAAGAATATTTTCAGGAGAGCACTCGCACAATAATAATATTGGTATGGTATATGAATCAAATAACTTTCTGAATGTGAACAATTCCGAATGAACAAGAGCACAGTTCACATACGGCACCGATTAATGAGCACGATAGAAGTGATACAAACAAACACCGTGAGCAACAACAAAAAAGAATCTTCACCATAATTATTGGCATCATTAATGGTTATACATGTTTTAATGTCATCAACTATAGAATACAACAGCTATATCAATGAATGAAATATCCGCCATGATTCACCAATAATAACAATAAACTGCAAAGACAGCAACATTAAAAGGTAGATGCAAAAACTACTCAACGATGAAAACCATTGAACAATTGTTTTCAACACAACTATAAATTTGTTAAAGTTCTAACTGAGACAGATCGATCGCAACTCGAAAGAAGCAATCGACCGCACTAAATCTCCCTAACATTCTGTTTTGATAAATCCATGTAGCATTCTCAGTTCCATATCCTTTGAATACCTTTTGATGGTTCAGATAAACACTACGAATCAAGACAATATTGCGCACAGCAACAACATTAACAATAGCAACAGTAGGAATATTGCTAATGGTGACCAAAAAACAGACTAATATTAATTGTTGAATCCCGACTGAATCCGATGTGGGACAGATCAATGATGATAACATAATAGTAACAATGAAAACAATCTACTTCTCCGGAACATCGGTGAGGGGGATATCTTCGTGATCAGCTTGCAATTTCGCCCTTTCGGCATCTTTGTCTCGTTCGATTTCGTCTGGCATATGCTCGGGTAACGGTTTACCTTTAGTTTCGGGTACGAACGCTTCATATGCGATCACTTCAAGCAAACTCATTCCACACATCAGCAGATATGGCAGTGGCCCCCAGATATCTCCCTGAAATCCAACAGCTCCTCATTTCCAAACGACATATTATCATTGTAAATCTATTTGCGATGTTTTATTCAGTTGCTCATTCGCTCAATGATTCTAATTATTTATCAGACGCAATTTCCCTTTGATTTCAATCACCACGTCTGATAATGATTTCTTTTCTCTTTCTTGAATCGCCATTTCATGTTTGTCACTTGTTGCAGAATGCTTCCTCCTGATACCCATCTTTTATAATGATCATTCTAATGAATTCCGTTTGAAACTGCTAGCTGAAGAGGCGTTGAGTTGAATGAACGATCCAGTTCTAACTTTTAAAGATCACTCTTCTGTAAAAGTAATACTGCTCATAACAGCAAAACACCGACCGAGTCCAAAACAGAGACATAAACATGTATATGCTTACCACAACAAATATTTGAGGTGCAATAATATTACCAATACGATTCCACGTTTGAATGAAACCAATGCCAACGTTACGAATCGGTGTCGGGAATAATTCGGATGGTGCGACCGCGTTCAAGATGTAAATTTGACTGCCCATTGCTGCGGCTGACAGAGCGGTGATACGAACCAGGCCGGGCAGATTCAACCCTGAACTTTTATTCATTCGTTTGCACATCGTCTAAGCAATCAATCCTCTTTCCTGTCTGAACAATACTGTCACAAGAGTGTTAGCCATCAAAGAAACGATTTTGCGTCGACACTGAAAGATCAGTGTTCTGCTGCACAAAATGACAACGAAGACAACGCTGGCGAAAGAATTTCTCAATGTTCAGCATTGTTTACAAAAATAAAATAAAATTCAGCGATGGTCAGAAGGAGAACTTCAGTGGTGATGATGAAAACGATGAGATAATTTCTAAAAACTTGCGACTTTTTTAATTGTTATTATGCACTTTACATGATGGCAATGATCGAATAACAAGGAATTCATACTGAGATTCATTCACGTACTGAACAGATTCAGTCAAGATTGTCTCTGAACGAAAGAAGTGAAAGAACGCACCGAAAACCTCAATGCAGAATACCAATCCGAGACTTGCCGAAATGAATCCCATCGAGAATCCGTGCAACAGACGACGACCAGCCCAAGCGAAACGAATATCGACAAAAGCACAAACCAGATTTATCGAGTATCTCAGCGACCCCACAATGACCGTATTCAGATACGGTGATCCGGCCAATTTTTCCATGTTGAACACGAGACCATACGATATGATACTCGTGGTCATTCTGAAATGAGTTAACTTTCTGAATGCTCTTTGATTGGATTCAGCCTAGACGTTCGATTTGAAATGAACTTTTTTTCAGAAGTAAACTTCTGAAACTTGGAATTATTGTTCGTTCACTCCTTCAATATCAAATTACTGAGTGACATTCATGCATGTAATTCATGCTGCATAGTACAATTGCAACAGTTCACTGGAAACAATCGCTCGTGCTTCGAACAAATTGAATCTCAATAAAATTCAACTGATCATGTAATTATGCAATGCACAAAACTCACAAACTGTATGCGAAAAGAACGGTATAGGTGGCTAATGCCGGTGTTGAGAACAAATGATACGTGTAGTAACGTTTACGCTGGGTACCCGCTGGCTGAAATCGGTTTTATGAACACATAGCAAGTTTCAGTTTGATAGAAATACTCGTCGAATACGTGAAAGATCTGTTCGTGAAATGGAAATACTTACCACAACTTGACGTTCTTTTTCTTTGCTGATAATACGATCCAAATTGGCCGTTCTCTCGGCTGAATTAGAATGATCCCATTTGCCCATACCCAACATCGCTTCTCTGGCCTCCTCAAACTTACCTTTGTTCAACAACCACCTTGGACTTTCGAAGATGAACCTTAAAACGGCCAGCAGTAATTATCAAAGTAAAGTGAATCAATGTCGATCTCAATATGATCATTCTGAAAGGATTTTCGAGGTAAACTGAGGCATTTCTTCATGCTGAAATGCTATCGTTTTTCATTAAATTTCCCTTGCCCAAAAAAAGAAATCCTTTTAAGAACGAAAAATTCTTAGTCGACAGAATAGAGCGTTGAAAATAAACGATGGAAAAGTTCACAAACTGACATGAGCATGATGAGAGGAACAAAAGTGAACGCGGCCACCACACGTGAGGTCAGTCGCCATTCACCGCAGAAATACGCAATCGCTGTGAAGACGAGATAGTTCGGTGAGTATGTGATCACCGTAACAATCCACATTCGATGTCGAGCTGGCAGATTCTCCATCATAAACACGTACGAAACACTGCAATTATTGCGCTCGGAATCGAAAGCAAGAAACAAAAAATTTCTCATCAACGATTCTGATTGCTTGCGATTCATTGAATTTCAAACCGTGCTGCACCCTGCTCATCCTCCTCACTCACCTGTGTTTGCCACCGGTGAAGAACATCACAAAGAAACGAGCCAGTGTGAATGTGTACAATCCGGTTGCAAATGTTGACACAGTTCCGGATATAATCAGACCAATTGTACCGAATATCAACGTCTGCAAATTTCAATACTCATTGGAATTTTGCGTTTCTACGCAACATTTCATAAGAAACTAAAATGATACTCTTTCTTTTCAAAAATGCAATACGATCAATTCAAGTGATATCAAAGTTTATTCAACCACAGCAGATACCTTTCTTCTACCGNGCAAATTTCAATACTCATTGGAATTTTGCGTTTCTACGCAACATTTCATAAGACATTCTGAAACTAAAATGATACTCATTCTTTTCAAAAATGCAATACGATCAATTCAAGTGATATCAAAGTTTATTCAACCACAGCAGATACCTTTCTTCTACCGAACGTGTCCGAAAGCTGTCCAAAAACAATAGCTCCAAACATAATACCGATCATTTGCAGAGATATACTATTCTTCACAGTCTTTGTTCCACTACATGCATATCCAAACTGTAATGGAATTACTATTAGTATCATTTTTAAATCCATCAGGAATAGTAATACCGGAGAATGAGATCCCCGTTGTTCCAATAAGGGCAATCATAACCAAACCTCATAATTGACCGAATGAAAGTCTGCTTCGTATTTACAATCTGCAGTATCGTTCAAATTGTTATAGATTTCACAACGTTCCGAGTGCGTCATATTCTCAAACGACTCATCACCGCAACTCACCACATTCGCGTTTGCCCCTGAAAATCGATGCCACCTACAGTAATACTGACAATGATATGAAAATGATGAAGTTAATGAAAATAACAATAACAGTCGTCATCTCATCAGAATTAAAAGATTATTGACCACCAACCCCCATAGATCATGTAGATGAGGTTGCTGACTTGAGAGATAACCAGGCATTCGTAGGTCAAGCAAACGAATCCAACATAACGACCCAGCCGCAGGAACTCGCCCAAATTCGTTTTCTCTTTTGGTTTCGCATCTGCTGGATCTTCCTTTGTTTCAGCCATTTTATCCCTTTAAAGTAGCTGATTAGGATGATTATTATTTCACCAACAACTGCACCAACGATTCGTATCAATGCGTTTTGCTAATCTCTCGCAACCTACCGATTTGCGTATGCAGTGATAATGCATGGAATGATCAAGTCATTTCAACCATTTAAACACTGATTCATTTGTTGCTCATTGCATTGAAATTATGCTACAAACCAGTGTTTCGCAATTGGAGGTGCTCGCTCCTCCAAGGGATGCGAAATAAGGTTTCTTTTTTTAGACATTTGAGTAGGCGAGCATGAATTTCAACATGTTTTTGAAATGTACTCTAATGGCGTAATACACTTATCTACCCTACAGAAGATGCTCATCGTAGTGGATGAGAGATGGATACAGAGCGGATGTTATGAGGGATGCGAGGACATGGTAACTATTGTTTTAGGCGGTGCGAAGACAACTTAAAATTTCCTTGGGGTAAGGACAGGGAAAAAGAACTACAGCTATAAACCGTATTATTTAGGCTATGATTGTTTTTGCTGTAGGATAAAAACGGTGGGTTTGCCAATTCGCTTGCGCCATGCATTAGTAATTCGCTTAGAAACAAGCCACAAGAATGAATTTAATAAACATTGTAACGTATCAGAGATCGCTGTTCACCAATGAGATGAAATGAATCTTTTCGCGAGGAACGCTAACAGATACTCCAAAAGGAAATCGCCAGCCTAGCAGTAAGCCAGCTCACCGATTCGATAATTCTGTCATAAGACGGTACCTTTCAATCTTGGGTGCAAATACTCAAAATGAAACAAAATCACTATCTGACAATGGCACACTCTTGCAATCATTCCTTCTAAAACATTAAAATCGCTTCTACATGAAATGACCTCAGAACGTTGAAGTGGAATGGAGAATGTTATGGCAATAAAGACAAAATATCTTTCAAATGATATTCCATCGATTAAAAATTATTTACACAAATCATGCTCGTAAAATAAGCTCTGAAAAAATCACCTAATGCAGTCACCGATGACGTACTGATAAGATAATCAAAAGAGTTCACACGCTTACTAGAGACAGCCGAATACATTCAATACTAACGATAAAATATGAATTACAAATAAGACGAAGACTGGAATGCTCAATGCTTAAATGTTTTTTTCGCTTCTGCGTCATTGTTACCTCTTCATTATCATAATTATGATTATAAGCAATATCAATATAATCAAAACGGCGATCAATTGAAGAATATTCATTTAAACGCATCCCGCATCGATGTACCAGTCACATCCTATTCATTCAATTGTTCGCCTACCAAACAAAAAGAAATCTTTTCCAGTTTATACGAAACATTTCTGTTTTGTATAAACTGGAGAAGATTCCTTCTCCTAGAGGCAGGAGAGTTCTCCTCCTACAGGCAGAAGTGTAATTAAAATCAGAAATCATTCAAACATATTGACGATACTCGTACAGTTAGTTGTTTCGTGGCGATCGCGAATGCTATGAGAGTTCTTCGTTGTTCTATCGTGCTTATCCTATAAAAAAATCACTAACTCTTAAGAACGAATCATATCTGGCTGATAAGATATATGAAAATAAAAATAGAATGAAGGAGCTCTTTCAATGATGAATTCATAGAATTATTTGAATGAGCACCGATACCGTTTCAATAGCGGATATCAAAAAAAAGAACTTTGACTTTCGTACAGCAATCGTTTCTGGGTGATTTATTCTCAAAAAAGCAATCTATCGATTCAAAAAATTCAGCGCAAAAGCCACTGATTAATTGAAGTGATACACTTATACAACTTCCTGTAAAACAAGTGTTAAAGCTGATGATAGATTCCAAAACAGACTGATTCGTTACGATGAATTAATGAAATAATCAACGACTAAAATACACGAAATGGAATTGAGGCTTCAATAATATTTCATCTTGAGGAAAGAAGAGGATCAAATTAGTCGATCGATTCGAAAATGGAACCGTCGCTTAGGTGTCTCCCTAATCGGAAGTATGAACATAATTGTTGTGTAGTAATCGACTTAGCATACGTGATCTGCTGATTTGTATATGAGTTGTCATCTATTGTTAGAAATTTACATAGAAGAAACTCTATATAAGGACGAGATTTCATTGTGTTGTCTCGATCTCAAGTAAAGGATTGTCTGGTCTTGGTTTTTTCCTCCCGAGTAAATAGTTTCTTCATCGTCTCGGGTTTTTATTCGTCGCTCATCAATGTTCAGGGACATAACAATAATGAAGATTTCATTAAATTGCATCAAATCGCTTTGCATCAAATAAATTAGAATAAACACAAATATTCGAATGCCTCGAAGAAAACGAATGATGTTTATGTAAAAACGCTATTGCGCAATTAAAGGTGATTATATTTGACAATGAGAGAGAATTTAGTCGGCTCAAGGAGCATTAAATAATGACTGAAACGGCCGAGACAGCTCACAAAACTGATAAGAGATCAGTGAACGTCCCGACAAGATTGATACGATCGATACAATGGACATCATATGAAAAAATACAATACCATAAACAATAATCGAAATGAAAGAATTCTTTTTTGCTTTTTAGCATATCATTCGAGGATTATCAATGAAAATAGGGACAGTGCTTCATCGGCGAATAAGTGAGATTTGATTAAAGCGGAACATTCCGTAAAGTATAAATGAGTAGGTTTGTTTACGAGTGACGAATGTGTTCATACGAGTAGGATTGTTTTTGCGAATTGTTTTCGCTATATTCCGTTTGATAATGTAGGCGTTGGATTTTTATTGATATTCTTAGATATTAAAAGATCCGAAGTGATGAGGACAATCTCACTAACTGTTCACGGCCAGTATTCATTTGTAGAGTGAATAGCACACAAAAATAATATTTCACTAATAAAATTTTCGGTTTTGTCACAGACAATAAAGCAATTCTTCATTTCACACGAACGATCGCTCCCTCTTTCACCACTCTCTTATCATTCAATTTCTTATCACCATATCATATCACAGTCGGATTCCTTCTCAAAAAAAAATCACATTGACGCACTTTAAGACAAACTGTTTATGTCTAACAATGCGAGTGAGTGCCCTTTCAACAATGTTAACGCTGTTATCACGCTCGCTCTATCACTACTTCATCAATGAGCAAAGTATAAGCAAATGATTATTTAATCCAAAGAACCTTCAAACTCTCTAATTTTTCCACTATTATAAAGCTAACACATTTTTCATTTAGACCATCCATCATCAGTTCTTGACTTTCTCGAACAAATCACTATAAACAATCAGAGATCACCTCGTCACCTGTTTCCGCTTGAAATTCATTGTTGGATTCTTCAAGATTTAAAAAATAGAAACTTTTAGCATGAGTTGGTTAGGAGCATCATTTACTAGTGTCAGAAGCAGTGATTCCGGTTGAAGAATCGAGTTTAGAAAGAGATGTTGACATATTATATAAGCAAATTGGAATGCTCGGAATGAGATCATCATAATATAAGTGTGCGATTTGGAACAATGAGAATTTGGAGAGTAGGCATGAAAAATCATTACGATATTTGATAAATCGTGCTTTTGTATTTCTTTAACAACAATAATACTCACTATCAGAGAAAAAACACAAAAATAGCAGTAGCAAATCCGGTTATCATCCTGAAATATGAAACTTGTCATGGGGAAAAACTGGAACGTTTGGAAAGAGAGCATGAGAATATGAATGTGCGATTTGGAACAATGAAAAGTTTAGAAAGTGTGCATGAAAAATCATTATACTGATGGATGTGGACACGCATCAACGTGTTTTTGTATTCATCAATAATGACACATTGACAAAATTGTATGAAAATATGTTACAGTTATGTAAAATGACAAAAATGAATAAAAAATTGACGTACGGAAGAATTCGCATTTATATTCAGTGTTCATCAAAGAAAAACAATTTAACTCTCCTCAAAAACTTTTTTTTGCATCGTTTGCAAATTTCCTCTGCAAAAGACACGTGTTGCAAATTTGCAAGCTGAAACATAAAATGAAATGTGAAAACAACAAATCAGTTGTCACCTTTGAATGGCGATTCTCATAGAAACCAACAATCAAAGAGATCTCATCGACAAGACAAGAAGCCTCATGAATTTTGTTGTTGTTGCCATTGATCAAAAATTCGAAAATAACGTTTCTGTCGATCAAAAACGATAGTTTCAAATTTTAAAAAAAAGAACGCGAAAACCGTCGCATAATTGTACAAAAATAAAATCAAGACATAGAAATTAGAGTAGAATTCCAACAAAGCTAACGAACAACACTCAAAGTATTTCTGATTTCTGATTTGCTATAGTCCTAATCAAAACACCCTTCAAGTCAAAAAATAACGCAAACTTTTAATTTCAACAAGTAACAAAATTATTGTAATTCAATTATACAATATGAATGTAACAGCGTAAACTTTTCAAGGTTAACATATTAAAATACTGAAAAATTGCTCAGTGACAACACCACTTATCGCCTTGCAATTAATAAAAATGGCAGCAAAAAGTTAGCCGAGCATCTCCTTCTAAATGTCTTATCATTTTGTTTAACGAACTGACAAGTCATCATCAATAAAACTTCTCAAAAACCTCATTGAATCACCTAGGTATTGCAGCTATAAATAATTTTTGTAGTCTAGAAGGCTAATGAAGCAAGAACAATGCGATATTCTGAAATTTTTCAACGCAATGTTTAGATGTTCAGCATCGAAATGTGTAAAATTCAATGAGCATTCAGCTCCAAGTTAGTCACATAACAGAATACTTAATCTCTGATCACATTTTTTGGATATTCTTTAGAGATTTGGATTGTTCATAATTCCACAAAGGTCATTTGATCATAACACACTTATTATATTTGCTGAAGAAGCAATTATTGTCCACAAGCCTCTAGCTCACTCAGTTCTACGCGTCGACGATAAGGACTTGTTCTTTGAGCTGTGAATATTCTTTCTCTTACGATTAGAGGAGTGCCGAGACGGCAGCTGTTAC